GCCGCTGCTAGGAGGCCGGCGTGGGGGTATCTTGCAGTTAAATAATCTTAAATATCACGGACGCCTGCTCCGTAGCGAGCGGCGCGGCATTATTGCCCTGCTGCGCGGTGCTTGCGCCCGGCCGCTGCTCAAAGCGGCACTACCGCCGCCGCCGCGGTGACCGTGGCGAGGACAAGCAGACTGGAGAGAACAGCAGCACTGCCTTCTTGGCCATCTTTTTTGCCGTCCTTGCCGTCTTTTTTGCCGTCCTTGTCGTCTTTTTTGCCGTCCTTGTCGTCTTTTTTGCCGTCCTTGTCTGGGGAGCTGAGTTTGACGAGGCTGCTGCCGTTGGCGGCGATGGTGCACACCTCCTCGTACTTCGGGCACTTGATCTTGCCGCCGTCCTTGAAGTGCGCCGACTTCGGCGTGATAAACTTCCCCTCGGGGCACTCCTGCCACGCGTCGCTGCCGAGGTACTTCACCTTCACTTTGCCCGCCTCGCACTGCACCCCCGCACACACCGCGTGCACTTCGGTGTAGTCCTTGTCGGTCGCCTTGCTCCTGGCCTCCAGTGGCTCCGCATCGAGGCACCACGAGCCTCCCCCATGGAGGGACCCGGGCGGTGCGTTGCTTCCCTCCACAGTGCAGAACACTTCAGGCACACCATCATCAGAAGGGAAAAAAACAGAGCAGGTCTCCTTTGGGTTGGCGCCGCCTTCAGCGACATTCTGACCACATTGCCCGATGGCTTGACGGTTGGACGTGCAGCGAAACGATTTTTCGGTCTTCTTGTCGCAGAACATGCCGGGGTGCTCGGCGGGGCTTTTGTCTGAGCACGGCTTCTCGAGGAAGTCACAGCCCGCGCCCCTGCCCCACGCCATCGGCTCCTCCATCCCCCACACGGCCTTGTAGTAGCCGAGGTCCTCAAACATTGCCATCGTCAGCGCCGTGTAGTAGCCGGCTGTTATCCCGCCAAGACCGCTCATCAGCTCGTCCTTCGCGTTGCGCAACGACAAGTGGCAGTCCTTCGCACCGTCGCAGTCCTGCAGCTCCATGCCCTGCAGCTTGTCGCAGCCGTAGTGTGCCTTCGTTTTGTTCAGCGTAACGGGGGAACTCACCACCGTCACAGGAGAGCTGCCACCGCGCACAGCAGAGACGGTCGTCAGCATTTTGTGATCCTTCATCTGCTTCGCGTCGAAGCCAAGGGCATAGGCGATTGCGTGCGCAGCGACGCGGGCAGAGTGCATGACAGACAACTGTGGAGAAGGCAGCAGATTCAGGGCACCGGCAATTGGACGACCGTCCGTCCCAAACGCACACGGGAGACCCCACTCCCCGTAATTAGACCTGGCAGCCACGTAGAGCACCATGTCCGCATTCTCAACCCCCGCACTTTGGTGCCCTTCGGGGACCTTGAAGTGCTGGCAAAGCCCATGCTTCTCTGTGAACTTGGGCACCTTCAGCGGGGTCTTCAGGCGTCGAACGAGCAGACGCTCCGCGTGCAGCTTGAGAGCCACGGGGATGACCTCGTTCACCAGGGTTTTGTTCCAATCCGCGGTCAGTACTTCCTTCTTCGCGCACGGTAACTCTTGTCCCCTGAAGTCGGGTTTCTTTTCTCCTTCTTTGGTGCAGTACTTACTTGCGTCGCTCAGATCCTCCATCGACACCACGATGCGGATGGGCTCCCAGCCCTTGTCCTCGCCCTCTGCGGCGACGGTGTACGCCTGCGCCGCGCCCTCTCCCTTGCGCGGCACCTCACGCACCATCGCGGTCGGCGGCGGGCCGCTCCTCAACGCCGCCTCGTCGAGCGCACGGCGGTGTGCAGCGGCGAGGCACCCACCGACGCAACACGTCGTCGCGAGGAGGAGCAGCAGCGGCAGCGGCGGAAGTGCGGCGTGGGTCGGACGGCGCATGGCGTGAGGGAAGTGTCTGTGTTGGTCTGTCGTGGATGGCGGCAGTCGCAAATGTCTTGTCTGCGGGAGGCGGGGGGAAGAGGCGGGAAAGAAGGTGGAGGCGGCGGCCGGAGAGGCCGCGGGAGGGGGAGGGCGAGAGCGAGGCCGCAAGCCACTGCGACGGCCACCGCACCGCCACCTCTGCGCACCGCTCTCGCCCAGACACGCACGCGGGGCCCGGCAAGCAGCAATAACCGACGGAACCCGCCCGATTGAAGCCGAAGCGAAGTTAACCCCGTCACGGAAATGCTCCTTCCCAC